TCACATTTCTGCCCAAAATTAAGAAATAATAAGAGTCATAACCAGTGTGCAATTACTTTTTGTGTTTTATTTGTTGTATATTTTTAGAGTATTTATTTATATTAAGGGTTAAATGTATTTTACTTGTAAAATGCAAAATAATTTTTATTTCTATTTTACTGCTGCAGATCGGATTGCTCCAACAAAATTTAGTTTTATAAACATATGCAATGACAATAAAGACCTAACAGTGTTTTCATGCACTGCTCAGTTTGAGCTCTATTTTGCTTCCATAACAGTCGTGGAGTTTGAGTCTCCACTTCCGCAGCTTCACACACACCAAACAGTTCTATTCATATCTCTATTCTGAAGGGTTGTTCATATATCATTCGCCTGGTTTATACAATATTTGACTCTTAAAAGCATGGTGAAATGTATTTGTTTTCAGTCTGTTGACAGTATTATCTGAGTCATGGAGTAAAAAAAGAGAAAATCCAAAATCCCCCTGGAAAAACCTTTAACTCTAATATGTTAACAAAATCAAACAAGGGTTTTGAATCTGGCTTTATCCAGTGTTCAGAATCTGTTCTGGAACTGTATGCAAATTAGTGCATATTTAATTAGATCGTGCCTGCATATTTAAACACAACATTTCAGAAAACCTGTAATGGATAACAATTGTCTTAATATACTGCGATTAGTCAAGAAGGGAAAGATCACCTGTTTTTAGGTTTGTTAAATGTTCTGTTCTCAAACTCTCATGGGTGGAGTGTTAGATTTGTTGTACTTCCATGTGAATCAGAGGTTTTGTTGGTCACATGATGCTGAAAGCTCCGCCCCCAGTGATACCTCATTGGTGGTGCCTGTGGCGTGTGATCAGTACGATTATGTGGCGACTTTACCGTGTTTATCGTGTGATTTCTGCTTGTGTTGTGCAGTGGGACGCTGCTGAGTTTTTCTCCTGCTCTGGGAAACACACTGATGAACAACAACACACTGGCCACCATCCAGGGTATGACCTCTGACCTCTGTGTCTACATGTATTCACTGTATAGCAAATCTCAACTGCTCGATTATTTACAGGCAATCCAAAATGTATTCAGACACCTTCAATATTTCTCACAATATCACAGCTTATTCGCTATGGTTTAGAACATTTTAACTACATAATTAGACTAGTAAAACAATATCAAAATGATATCTGATGTCTGAATAATTTTTAATTTGACTATGTAATTATAGTTGCATTTGTCAGATTAGAGCTGGTCGATAATATAAGGCATAAAGATATTAAGATAATATGAACATTAACATCATGAACGTGTGTGTGTGTGTGTGTTCAGCAGCTCTTGCATCGGGCGGCGCTTTTCCTCTGACGTCCTTCGACGGAAACACTGGCCTGCTATTCGCCAACACCAGCGCAGGAAGCCCCGCCCCCGGCCTGATGACCACGCCCTTCTTCCTCAACCCCTCCGGCTTCTCTCTGCTGCCAGCCAATCTCCTGTCAGGGGGCGGGGCAGGAGGCGGAGCTCTCAACCTGCATGTGACCAGTGACGTGCAGCAGAGTCCCGTTGCCATGACGACGAAGAGCGTGGCCTTGGCCTCGAAGGCCCAGTGAGCGCGTGCGAACGCGAGTAACCCTGTTGCTATTACCAAAAACACTCCTGGCCGGTGCCGAGAGCAGGACTGGCCGGCGCCCGTCGGGTCCGCTGCAGGACGACACGCGGTCGGGATGAACTTTATTTTTGCATTATTTCTGAAATTAACGTCTAAATTAACCAAAAATGTGAGACTTTTTCATGACGGCAGATTCTTCTCGAGAGATTATTTCACGTAACAGAGTTTATATTGACTTTCTACGAGGGTTTCTGTTGTTTTTATTTGCGGCTCTGAAACGGGCCGATTGTAGATTTATAACCAAAAGCATTTGAGATGTTTTATGTTGCGCGTCGATGACTTTTTAAACTAGTACTCTAACTCGACATCACTTTATAAATACGGTTAGAAGGCTTTAACTAGTAATAAAGATCGCAGTGAGCGCGTCTCCTGTGAGAAATGCAATCCGTCACACGTTTGTCTGAACACTGTGTGTAGTGGCAGAGAGACGAGGTCGTTCCGCATGAATATTAAATCTGTGTGATTCCACCTCATGTATGTCCTGTCTTATCAAATACTGGATGTTGAACGTTTATTTCCCTGGCTTCTAGTGTTCAGAAACGCGTTTGAAGCCTCTGGATCCAGCGATTGGCCAGCAGCTTCACGAACACCTCAGCGTCTCCTATTGAGATTCTGTGGAAGCTTGTTTCTGCCATAGAATAAAAAAAATTAAAAAGGTAATTGTGACTTTCTCACAATTTTTTTTTTTTAGTCGTTCTTCCCAGTAACCAAGTCAGACTTCCCAGTCAAAGTTCCAATAAACCAAGTCGAAGTTCCCAGTCGAAATTCCGAGAAACCAAGTTGGAGTTCCGGGAAACCAAGTTGGAGTTCCTGAGAAACCAAGTTGGAGTTCCGAGAAACCAAGTTGGAGTTCCGAGAAACCAAGTTGGAGTTCCGAGAAACCAAGTTGGAGTTCCGAGAAACCAAGTTGGAGTTCCGAGAAACCAAGTTGGGAAACCAAGTTGGAGTTCCGAGAAACCAAGTTGGGAAACCAAGTTGGAGTTCCGGGAAACCAAGTTGGAGTTCCGAGAAACCAAGTTGGAGTTCCGAGAAACCAAGTTGGAGTTCCGAGAAACCAAGTTGGGAAACCAAGTTGGAGTTCCGAGAAACCAAGTTGGGAAACCAAGTTGGAGTTCCGGGAAACCAAGTTGGAGTTCCGGGAAACCAAGTTGGAGTTCCAAAAAAACCAAGTTGGGAAACCAAGTTGGAGTTCCGGGAAACCAAGTTGGAGTTCCGGGAAACCAAGTTGGAGTTCCGGGAAACCAAGTTGGAGTTCCGGGAAACCAAGTTGGAGTTCCAAAAAAACCAAGTTGGAGTTCCAAAAAAACCAAGTTGGGAAACCAAGTTGGAGTTCCGGGAAACCAAGTTGGAGTTCCGGGAAACCAAGTTGGAGTTCCGGGAAACCAAGTTGGAGTTCCGGGAAACCAAGTTGGAGTTCCAAAAAAAACAAGTTGGAGTTCCGGGAAACCAAGTTGAAGCCAAGTCATACTTCTGTAAATTACCTTTTTTTTTATTTTTATTCCGTTAAACAAGCTTCCATAAGATTCACCCTGAAACTGTTACTTGAGTCTGTAATGTTGCAGTGATTTGTTTGATTCCGTTGGAGTGTGTTTCTGTCATCAGTCCGTCACACACACACACACACACTTCATAGTGCGCGAGTGGTTGGAGTGTGTTTCTGTCATCGGCCCGTCACACACACACACACACACACACACACTTCATAGTGCGCGAGTCGTTCTGTGCCGAAACGGATGCAAACAGAATCACAAAAGAAGCTGCAACCAAAGTTAGTCTCTTTGTGTCAGAGTTTATTCTCCAGCGGCCGTCAGCGAACAGAGACGTGTAGGAGAGGTCAGAGGTCAGAGACGTGTAGGAGAGGTCAGAGGTCAGGGACGTGAGGTCAGAGGTCAGGGGCGTGTGTTTGTATAAAGACCTCCAGCACTGATCTTCAGTCAGAGAATACTACTGTGTACAGTCCTTTATTTTACTCCGTGTGTTTCCTCTTCATCTTCTGCGTTCACGGCCGCGCTCGTCTCGTCTTCATCTGGTGGAAACTTCTGCTCATGAACCGCTCTGAGCTTCAGCAGGACTTCGTTTATTTATAAACATGAAACTGCTGAAACGGAAGGCGGCGACATTGATCTATTAATATCATTCATCTCCATTTTGCTTTGGTCTCGCAACTGTAAAGTTTAATATATGAAATATTTCAGTGCTCATTAGTTTCATCTTTAGCGTCTTTGTTTTCTGCAGGAATGAAAAAGCAGATGAAAACCAAAGATTCATCTGCTCCTCCGTTTCTCCTCAATCATCTTTATCATCTTTACTCAAACACCCACAATATATACCAGGATTATAAATATATATATATATAAATATGTAAAAAAAAAAAGTTTTTTATTTTGTGGTTCCCAAAGCAAACGTCCTCTGAGGATGAAAACCAAAGATTATTCACTTTCTCTTTGCCTTTCCCTTCATTTCTTTTTTAATGTATAATTCATTGGAAATTATAGTCACATTCTAGTCTTAATGATCCAGTAACAGGTTATTGATTTTATGGTGGAATATTAATAATTTTCTCACTGCATGATGAAACAGCAGCGTCTCAGTTTCCTGTCGTTCTCATTGTGATTCAGACGATGTGTGTTGAGTTTCTCTGAAGAATGTGTTTTATATCATACAGAAGGGCTACACACACACACACACACACACACACACACTCAGACTCACTCTCTCTCTCACACACACACACACTTCTGTTGTTCCTCCGCAGGTTGTTCTCGACTGCGTTGGTCTATCGTTCTCATGATCTCCTCTAGAGTTTGTCTGTATTTTTCTTTGCTGTTGACGAGTTTGTCGTGTTGCTGTTGCTGTAGATTTCATTAAATGTTTTTCTCAGACTGTTTTCCTGTATGATCTGTTCTTCTGAGTCCAATCAAGCTTCAAAACTCATCATTTACTGACAAGTGCAATGAAAAAATAATTTTATTAACAAGCTGATGACGAAATTACAGACAAAAATTAACAACAAAATTACAGTGAAATTCTCAGTTTTTAAAAGAGTAAATGCATTATGTTATTAAAAGCCACGATAAAGGACACGAAACATCAAACTCAGTGAATCTCAAAACTACGGCTCATATTTCCCCACAGAAATTAAGTCTGTTTTCAGAACCATATTCAATATTAAAAATAAAGGTTCTTTGAACAGTAATGATGGCTCCACGAAGAACCTTTAACATCCGTGAATCTTTCCATTCCACAAAAGGTTCTTTAGATTATTACAATGTTTTTAAAATGGTTCTTTTAAGAAAGGTGAAAATCACAAAATAGTTTTTTGGCATCGCTGTGAATAAAAAACATTTTTGGAAGCTCTATTTAAGAGTGTACAATATTACACTAATGAGACTCGTCCAGAATGAATCATTAGTTGAGTCACATGATGTTTAAACGTTGGCTCAATCAGGTTTACTGTCAAAGGCTTTATAGGGATTTTTTTGGTATCACTTTAAGGATTCGTTTGTCAATATTAGTTGATGCATTAACTAACAATCAAAAATACATTTTTAAAGCATTTATAAACCTTTGTTAATGTTAGTAATATACAACAGATCATTGGTCTATTAAATAATATTAACAAATGCAACCTTTGATTTTATTAATATATCCGTAAATGCTGATTATTATCATAATTATATTTGACTAAAAGCAATAAATGCTGTATTAATGAAAGTATTGTTCATTGTTAGTTGATGTTAATGTAAAGTGATACCGATTCTTCTGACTTTAACGCTACTGGACATGTACGACATGTAAACTTTAAGCTCATTATGAAAGTCTATCATTCATGAAGTGGAGAAACAGTTACTGTAAAAACACAATAATCGCGTGACTGGGGCCTTTAGGAAGGAAAGAAGGCCTGGAACCGGACTGGGGAATGGGATTGGAGTGGACTCGGGAATGGACTCAGGAATGGACTCGGGAATGGACTGTGGCCTGACGAGGGTTTGACGAGCTTCTAACGAGGCGGCGGGTTAATCTGCTGCATGTGCAGAGAGTCATACGTGTCTTTAGTCATGGAACTCAGACCCTGAAACAAACACACACTCAGTCAGAAAACACACTTCTGAACAGATCAAACCATATCATGCACTTCATACTGAGATCTGAAACACTTCTGACCTGATAAACCTGATCCCGACGCCGCTGAGGACGAGAACAACACAACACACAATCAGTCTTTACTCAAATCACACACACTAATCAACACAACACACAATCAGTCTTTACTCAGTTCACACACACTAATCAACACCAGATCAGAGTAAAACACTCACGTCTCCTCTGGGTTCGATCTCACGATACGTCTCGTCTGTCTTTCTGCTCAGAGGCTGAAACAAACCATCATAATCATATTCATAATCATCATCATCATCATGTGAATTAAACAATAAACGTCAACGCTCCATTTTACAGTGTCCTTGTTACAGGTTACTGTAGTAATAACAGTATATGTATGAATACATGCGACCCTAATGAGACTATAGATGGAGCATGGAGTTCATTAATGTCACTTGGTAACATGTTTAATAGTAAATGTTTAATTTCACTGTAACAAAGACACAAATAAAGTGTAACCCAATAAAGAAAAGGTTTGATTTTTTTTTCAGGTAAATGTTTATGTGTGATTTCTGGAGACCCTTTCCATCAATATGAAATAGATTGACAAGTATATTATATTATATTAATAATTATATTATATTAATAATTTATACCAAATCTGCAGCACTTTGGAACTCTGTATATTATATTATATTATATTATATTATATTACAGTATATTCAGTGGTTTGGATCAGAAGCGGCTCCTGTAACGGTGAGTTTGAGCTTCGCTCGCAGGAGCTTCTGTGGTGAACGATGAGCCTCAGCTTCACTATTCTCACGCGCTGCTAATAAACTTCCTTCCTGTTGTGATGAAGCTCTTACCGTGTAGGTGTCGTCTCCTCCTCTCCTGCGACCCTGTGAAACACACACACACACACACAAAACACACACTCTTTGATACCAATCTTTCATTTGAAAGTCACGTTTCTAGCATCTGTAAAACCATATTCTTCCATCTTAAAAAAATTTAAATTACGCCATATGCTCTCAATGACAAATGCGGAACAGTTAGTTCATGCGTTCATGACATTAAGGCTAGATTACTGTAATGCTCGTATGGGTGGTTGCCATGCACGCTTAATAAACAAACTACAGGTCCAAAACGCAGCATGACCAGCCCGTATGACCAGACCGGTTCTGTTATCACTGCATTGGCTCCCTATTAAACATCGTATAAATGTTTAAATATCGCTAATTACTTACAAAGCACTTCCTATAACACCTGATGTACTCGTTACATCATAAGAAGAATGGCATCTACGCTAATATTAGTCTTTCAGTTTATTCCAAGGTTATCTGTAATCAGCCGGATCCGGGCCGTATCCAGATCAGATGGAGGACCTGCGCCTAGACACGGCCACAACGCATGATGTAGTCAGCCGGACCCGGGCCGTATCCAGATCAGATGGAGGACCTGCGCCCAGACACGACCACAATGCATGATGTAGTCAGCCGGATCCGGGCCGTATCCAGATCAGATGGAGGACCTGCGCCTAGACACAGCCACAACGCATGATGTAGTCAGCCGGATCCGGGCCGTATCCAGATCAGATGGAGGACCTGCGCCTAGACACGACCACAACACATGATGTAGTCAGCCGGATCCGGGCCGTATCCAGATCAGATGGAGGACCTGCGCCTAGACACAGCCACAACGCATGATGTAGTCAGCCGGATCCGGGCCGGATCCAGATCAGATGGTGGACCTGCGCCTAGACACGACCACAACACATGATGTAGTCAGCCGGATCCGGGCCGGATCCAGATCAGATGGTGGACCTGCGCCTAGACACGACCACAACACATGATGTAGTCAGCCGGATCCGGGCCGGATCCAGATCAGATGGTGGACCTGCGCCTAGACACGACCACAACACATGATGTAGTCAGCCGGATCCGGGCCATATCCAGATCAGATGGAGGACCTGCGCCTAGACACAACCACAACGCATGATGTAGTCAGCCGGATCTGGGCCGGATCCAGATCAGATGGAGGACCTGTGCCTAGACACGACCACAACGCATGATGTAGTCAGCCGAATCTGGGCCATATCCAGATCAGATGGAGGACCTGCGCCTAGACACGACCACAACACATGATGTAGTCAGCCGGATCTGGGCCATATCCAGATCAGATGGAGGACCTGCGCCTAGACACGACCACAACACATGATGTAGTCAGCCGGATCCGGGCCGTATCCAGATCAGATGGAGGACCTGCGCCTAGACACAGCCACAACGCATGATGTAGTCAGCCGGATCCGGGCCGTATCCAGATCAGATGGAGGACCTGCGCCTAGACACAGCCACAACGCATGATGTAGTCAGCCGGATCCGGGCCGGATCCAGATCAGATGGTGGACCTGCGCCTAGACACGACCACAACGCATGATGTAGTCAGCCGGATCCGGGCCGTATCCAGATCAGATGGAGGACCTGCGCCTAGACACGACCACAATGCATGATGTAGTCAGCCGGATCCGGGCCGTATCCAGATCAGATGGAGGACCTGCGCCTAGACACAGCCACAACGCATGATGTAGTCAGCCGGATCCGGGCCGTATCCAGATCAGATGGAGGACCTGCGCCTAGACACGACCACAACACATGATGTAGTCAGCCGGATCCGGGCCGTATCCAGATCAGATGGAGGACCTGCGCCTAGACACAGCCACAACGCATGATGTAGTCAGCCGGATCCGGGCCGGATCCAGATCAGATGGTGGACCTGCGCCTAGACACGACCACAACACATGATGTAGTCAGCCGGATCTGGGCCGTATCCAGATCAGATGGAGGACCTGCGCCTAGACACGACCACAACGCATGATGTAGTCAGCCGGATCTGGGCCATATCCAGATCAGATGGAGGACCTGCGCCTAGACACGACCACAACACATGATGTAGTCAGCCGGATCTGGGCCATATCCAGATCAGATGGAGGACCTGCGCCTAGACACGACCACAACGCATGATGTAGTCAGCCGGATCTGGGCCGGATCCAGATCAGATGGAGGACCTGTGCCTAGACACGACCACAACACATGATGTAGTCAGCCGGATCCGGGCCGTATCCAGATCAGATGGAGGACCTGCGCCTAGACACGACCACAACGCATGATGTAGTCAGCCGGATCCGGGCCGTATCCAGATCAGATGGAGGACCTGCGCCTAGACACGACCACAACGCATGATGTAGTCAGCCGGATCCGGGCCGTATCCAGATCAGATGGAGGACCTGCGCCTAGACACGACCACAACACATGATGTAGTCAGCCGGATCCGGGCCGTATCCAGATCAGATGGTGGACCTGCGCCTAGACACGACCACAACGCATGATGTAGTCAGCCGGATCCGGGCCGTATCCAGACCAGATGGAGGACCTGCGCCTAGACACGACCACAACGCATGATGTAGTCAGCCGGATCCGGGCCGTATCCAGACCAGATGGAGGACCTGTGCCTAGACACGGCCACAACGCATGATGTAGTCAGCCGGATCCGGGCCGTATCCAGACCAGATGGAGGACCTGCGCCTAGACATGGCCACAACGCATGATGTAGTCAGCCGGATCCGGGCCGTATCCAGACCAGATGGAGGACCTGCGCCTAGACACGGCCACAACGCATGATGTAGTCAGCCGGATCCGGGCCGTATCCAGATCAGATGGAGGACCTGCGCCTAGACACGACTTCAACGCATGATGTAGTCAGCCGGATCCGGGCCGTATCCAGATCAGATGGAGGATCTGCGCCTAGACACGACCTCAACGCATGATGTAGTCAGCCGGATCCGGGCCGTATCCAGATCAGATGGAGGACCTGCGCCTAAACACGACCACAACGCATGATGTAGTCAGCCGGATCCGGGCCGTATCCAGACAAGATGGAGGACCTGCGCCTAGACACGACCTCAACGCATGATGTAGTCAGCCGGATCCGGGCCGTATCCAGATCAGATGGAGGACCTGCGCCTAAACACGACCACAACGCATGATGTAGTCAGCCGGATCCGGGCCGTATCCAGACCAGATGGAGGACCTGCGCCTAGACACGACCTCAACGCATGATGTAGTCAGCCAGATCCGGGCCATATCCAGACCAGATGGAGGACCTGCGCCTAGACACGACCACAACGCATGATGTAGTCAGCCGGACCTGGGCCGTATCCAGATCAGATGGAGGACCTCCGCCTAAACACGACCACAACGCATGATGTAGTCAGCCGGATCCGGGCCGTATCCAGACCAGATGGAGGACCCGCGCCTAGACACGACCACAACGCATGATGTAGTCAGCCGGATCCGGGCCGTATCCAGATCAGATGGAGGACCTGCGCCTAGACACGACCTCAACGCATGATGTAGTCAGCCGGATCCGGGCCGTATCCAGACCAGATGGAGGACCTGCGCCTAGACACGGCCACAACGCATGATGTAGTCAGCCGGATCCGGGCCGTATCCAGACCAGATGGAGGACCTGCGCCTAGACACGGCCACAACGCATGATGTAGTCAGCCGGATCCGGGCCGTATCAAGACCAGATGGAGGATCTGCGCCTAGACACGGCCACAACACATGATGTAGTCAGCCAGATCCGGGCCATATCCAGATCAGATGGTGGACCTGCGCCTAGACACGACCACATCGCATGATGTAGTCAGCCGGATCCGGGCCGTATCCAGATCAGATGGAGGACCTGCACCTAGACACGACCACAACGCATGATGTAGTCAGCCGGATCCGGGCCATATCCAGATCAGATGGAGGACCTGCGCCTAGACACGACCACAACGCATGATGTAGTCAGCCGGATCCGGGCCGTATCCAGATCAGATGGAGGACCTGCACCTAGACACGACCACAACGCATGATGTAGTCAGCCGGATCTGGGCCGTATCCAGATCAGATGGAGGACCTGCGCCTAGACACGACCACAACGCATGATGTAGTCAGCCGGATCTGGCCCGTATCCAGATCAGATGGAGGACCTGCACCTAGACACGACCACAACGCATGATGTAGTCAGCCGGATCCGGGCCGTATCCAGATCAGATGGAGGACCTGCGCCTAGACACGACCACAACGCATGATGCAGTCAGCCGGATCCGGGCCGTATCCAGATCAGATGGAGGACCTGCGCCTAGACACGGCCACAACGCATGATGTAGTCAGCAAGATCCGGGCCGTATCCAGACCAGATGGAGGACCTGCGCCTAGACACGGCCACAACGCATGATGTAGTCAGCCGGATCCGGGCCGTATCCAGACCAGATGGAGGACCTGCGCCTAGACACGGCCACAACGCATGATGTAGTCAGCCGGATCCGGGCCGTATCCAGACCAGATGGAGGACCTGCGCCTAGACACGACCTCAACGCATGATGTAGTCAGCCGGATCCGGGCCGTATCCAGACCAGATGGAGGACCTGCGCCTAGACACGACCTCAACGCATGATGTAGTCAGCCGTATCCGGGCCGTATCCAGATCAGATGGAGGACCTGCACCTAGACACGACCACAACGCATGATGTAGTCAGCCGGATCCGGGCCATATCCAGATCAGATGGAGGACCTGCGCCTAGACACGACCACAACGCATGATGTAGTCAGCCGGATCCGGGCCGTATCCAGATCAGATGGAGGACCTGCGCCTAGACACGACCACAACGCATGATGTAGTCAGCCGGATCTGGGCCGTATCCAGATCAGATGGAGGACCTGCGCCTAGACACGACCACAACGCATGATATAGTCAGCCGGATCCGGGCCGTATCCAGATCAGATGGAGGACCTGTGCCTAGACACGACCACAACGCATGATGTAGTCAGCCGGATCCGGGCCGGATCCAGATCAGATGGAGGACCTGCGCTTAGACACGACCACAACACATGATGTAGTCAGCCGGATCCGGGCCGTATCCAGACCAGATGGAGGACCTGCGCCTAGACACGACCACAACGCATCCCTGAAGTGTCAGCAGAGATTGTGTGATCTAGACTCTCCCCTGTAAGGCCTCATCGACACGACAGCCATCAGAACTGATCCTCAACAAACTCGCCTCCATCCCGACGTGACTCCGATCTTCAACCAGAGGGAACTGGATAATATTCTGAATGTTCCGATCCAATCTGACCTCTGACCTGTAATGCTCCTGAATCATAATCATAATCATACACTGTTGGTTCGTTGGCCAACTGAGCGACTGAGTCTGGTTTCTCACAAGGTTTATTTCTCCATTCTGTCACTGGTTCCACTGGTTCCACTGTCGCCTTTGGCTTTTGTCTTGCTTATTTGGGGGCATTTAATTTAATATTCAACAATATTATTGATCTCCTGCATTGACAGCATTATATGAGAACTGAACTGAGCTGGACGATGACATCACTGTTTTCTCCAGAGCGGCTATATACATAAATGAACTAAATTAATAACTTTATTACAACAAAAATGAACCATCACTGAACTTAAGCAACAAACATTATTACACATCGTTGCATTATTCTCCTGTTATTACTGTAAAGTTGCTTTGAAACACTGAAAGTATGATCACAGGCTCACCATGTGACGTGTGATGTCATGTATGTGGTGTGTATCATCACTCACCCCTTCAGCGCTGTGCTTCGGGTTACTGTACACCTCCTTCCCACTGGGGTTAATCGCCTGGACAAATCAAACACTTATTATCATCATAAATG